CACCTACAGGGTTTGGTGGCAGCTGAGCAGGGTTTTGTGAATGCCAGCGGGGCCTGATCCTGGCACTTGGGGATGCAGCGCTCCAAGGAGTGAGGCTGCTGACTCCCAGTGAAATCAATGGATGTCGGGAGCCTCAACAGGAGCCAAACTCCTTGTCAGCCTATAGCTCTCGGGTCCTTTAGGTACCTAAGCCCCTTTGTGAACCTAGCCCCTGGGGCTGGTCCATGGGAGTTGGGTACCTCATTCCATTAGGTCTCTTGGAATAGCTCAGCCCCTCCAAATAGCAAAACAGGATAAAGCTATTCCTCTCTCTCCTGACTGGGGATGTTGTGTTGATATCACAAGTTGGCAGACCCCTTGGTCCTGTCTTAGGTGCGTGGTTGGCTTGTGCTAAGCCCATTGTGCTGGGGAGAGCTCCCCACCAGCTATGGGCCTGAATGGACACAAACAGGGTCAGCTTCAGTTCCAAGGTCTGTTTGTTTCACGGGGCCACTGGCCCAGTGCATTGACATTACTGGCACTGGTTGCACAACGCTGCCCATTCCGCAGTGTTAGTTGAGCCTGGGAGTCCCTCCCCCACCCCCCACGGGCTCTATATAACTGGCAGCTACGGGGGGTACAGCGTCAGCGACACTCTGCAGCCAGCTCGTCTATTCCCCAAGGGGACAGGAGCTGAGGAACCAGGACTTTGGCCAGGAAGAGACCACACCACGGTTAGTTCTTAAGCTGATCTGAATCTTCAGGCCAGAGATCCCACAGGTGTAGACAGAGGAGATGGCTCAGTTAATCAGCTGCGGGAGGGCAGAATGTCAGGTGATCAGGGCAGGTACAATTGGGTGTCAGAGCACTTGGGTCCTCTGCCCAGCTGTGGGAGGGGGGAGGGTCTAGGAGTTAAAATAGTGGGGGGCGGGAGGCTGGGATTTGTGGGTTTTCTCCCTAGCTCTGGGATGAGAAGGGAGTTCAGTGAATGAGAACAGTGAGGCTGCGACTTGGGGTTCCTGGGGTCTAGCCCCAGCTCTGGGAGGAGAAAACAATCAAGTAGTCAGAGGAGAGGAGGGGGGAGTCTGGGAGTTAAGACACCTGGGTTCTATCCCCAGCTCTGGAATAGGAGTGGGGTCTAGTGGTTAGAGCAGCCCCATATACACACTCCAGGGGATTAGTTTTTGGAGTGGAATCCATTTTAATTAGGACTCCTGGGTTCTATCCCCAGGTCTGGGATGGGAGTAGGGTCTAGTGGGTTAGAGTGGGGTGGGTTGAGATTCAGGACTCCTGCCTGTAGGAAAGACTATGTCACCTAGAGATTGGAGCAAAGGGCTTGGCAGACGCCACTATGGTTCCTCTGAGCACTGGAGCAGGAGTTTCCACCAGTTTAGATCTTACCTGTGAGCTGAAGAATTTCAAAACACAAAAGCAGGTGAGAGGGGTTGGGTCAGTTCATGCAGAAAGGGAGGCTCAGAGCTCAAGCTGTCTGCTCATTTTAAAGTGTCTCTTTAAAGGGAGAATAAATGAAAGGACACAATTGCCAAGGAGCGACATTCAGCCTCCCATGCTGTGCAAAGCTGGGCTGATCATCTGACCAGCGCTAGCTGGGTCCCTGTGGGATATTTAGAATCCATTGATGCCAAGCACATGAGCTGCTACTGCTGGAGGACTATGGCTGGGGTCTGCAAAGGGGCCTAAGGGAGTTATGGGATCTCTTGCGGGATTTGGCATCCTAGCTCTGGAAGGCTCCTTTCAAAATCCCAGCTCAGGTCCCCCATCTGACAGCCTCATAAACCTCTAGGGATCAGCTACGAGAGAGACAGGAACATACCCTGAGAGGGGGTTACAAAGTGGTTCTGAGTGGGGGTATCTCTCTGGGGATTAGTTTTGGGGTGGGATCCACTGTCTAACCCGGGGGAAATTTGAGACCAGATACCTTCAGGCATCCCTTCCTCACCCATTTCCACAAGAAGCCCTGTAGAGCTGGTGTGTTCACACTCTGAACCACCCTCAGTGAATTGCCTCCCACCAGAACCATTCCTAGATTTTAAAGCCAGAAGGGGCCATTTAATTATCTAACCTGACCTCTTGTATATCACAGGCCAGAGAATTTCACCCAGTTACCCCAGCACTGAGCCCAATCACTTTTGTTTGGGTAAAGCACCTTCCACAAAGCTGTCTAATCTGGATTGGAAGCCAGCCAGAGATGGAGAAGGTGGAGTTTGCTCCCCTTGGTCGTTTGTTCCAATGATTCCTCATCCTCACCATTAAAATCTGGGACCTTATTTCTAAATTCAATTTGTCTGGCTTCAACTTTCAGCCCTTGGTTCTTTCTCTGCCATTCTCTGCTAGATTAAACAGACACTGAGTGCTGTTTCCTCCCCGTGAAGGTCCCTATACATTGTCATCACCTCTCAGTCTGCTGTTAGATACTTTAACAGATCAAGCTCTTTCATTCCCTCACTCTCAGGCATTTTCTTCAGCCCTTACATCATTGTTGAGTCTCTTTTCTGCTCCTCCTCCCATTTTTCAACATCCTTTCCAGAAGGTAGACCCCAGAACCGGGTGCCGTATTTGCAGTATGCCAGTATCGCTTCCACCAAAGTAGTATACAAATCGCCTCCCTGCTCCTACAGTCTAAAATATGGCTAGGGTGAAACAACCACAGAAGGAAAGGAAAGCGAAAGAGAGTGCTTAAAATCAATCTTTTCTCTATTTACCTGCCAAGAGAAGAGATAAGGGGTCATAGTTTCCCTAGAAAGAGCAGAGAACAAAAATAATTGTGTCAACAGCAGAGCTTTCTGATCTCTGCTTGGCTAACAGAGTCAAGGACTCCTGCTTTGTATAAAATAAAACAAACATGCCATGTCTCCTTTTCAATCCAAAGTCTAGACTGCAGGTGTATTAGATTAGGAGATTGCAAAACGCCCTGATACCGTGGGGATGGGCGAAGCATTCAAGGACTAAGGTGAGGCTGGAACTAAGAGCATCAGCCCCATTTCACAGAAGGGGAAAGCAGAAGCACAGAAAAGTTAAGTGACACAATAATTACCAGCAACATTTTTTTACGGCCATCAGAAACCGGAAGCCTGCCAGACAGGCAGGCAGTGGGGCGTCTGGACAACCAAGGTGCTCAAGGAGCACTCAAGGAAGACAAGGCCATTGCGGAGAAGCTAAATTAATTATTTTCCTCCATCTGCACTACAGAGGATGTGAGGGAGTTTCCCCACACCTGAGCTATTTGCTTGGGGTGACAAATCTGAAGTACCATCCCCCATTGAGGTGTCAATAAAGGAGTTTTAGATCAAATTGATAAATTAAACAGTGATTGGTCCCCAGGAGCGAATGGGATTCACCCAAGAGTTCTGAAGGAGCTCAGATATGAAATGGCTGAACTGCTAACTACAGCATGTAACCTTTTTAATCAGCCTCTGGGGCAGATGACTGGAAGGTTGTGAATGTAATACTGATTGTTAAAAAAGGCTTCAGAGGTGATCCTAGCAATTACATGCTGGTAAACCTAACTTCAGTACCAGACAAGTTAGATGAAATTATAGTACAGAACAGAATTATCAGACACAAAGATAAACACAATTTGTTGGGGAAGAGTCAACAGAGGTTTTGTAAAGGGAAATCATGCCTCACCAATCTACTAGAATTCTGTGCAGGGGTCAACAAGCATGTGGACAAGGGTGACCCAATTGATATGATGTACTTGGATTTTCAGAAAGCCTCTGACAAGATCCCTCACCAGAGGCTCTTAAGCAAACTAAGTACCCATAGGATAAGAGGGAAGGTACTCTCATGGATCAGTAAGTGGTTGAAATATAGGAAACCAAGGGTGGAAATAAATGGTCATTTTTCACAATAGAGAGAGATGAACAGTGGGATCTCCCAAGGATCTGTACTGGGACCCGGGCTGTTGAATATATTCATTAATGATCTGGAAAAGGGGATGAACAGGGAGGTGAGAACGTCTGCAGATGATACAAAATTACTCAAGATAGTTAAGTCCAAAGGTGACTGCAAGGAGTTACAAAGATATCTCACAAACTGGGTGAATGGGCAACAAAATGGCAAATGAAAGTCAATGTTGATAAATGCAAAGTAATACAAACTGGGAAAAAATAATCCCACTTACACATAAACTAGGATGGAGTCTATATTAGCTGTTACCACCAAAGAGATCTTGGAGTGTCCATTGACAATTCTCTGAACATTTCTGCTCAATGCACTGCAGTGAGCAAAAAGGCAAACCGAATGTTAGGAACGATTAGGAGTAGGACAGAAAATAAGACAGAAAACATCAAAAAGATGCTATATAAATCCAGTGTGCACCCATGCCTTGAATACTGTGTCCATTTCTGGTCACCCCATCTCAAAAAGGACATAGTGGGACGGTAGAAGGTTTAGAGACTGGCAACAAAGATGACCAAGGGTGTGGAACAGCTTTTATATGAGGAGAGACTAAAAAGATTAGGGCCATTCAGTGTAAGAGACAACTTGGTGGGATATGATAGGGGTCTATAAAATAACGACTGGTGTGGAAGAAGTGAACAGAGCAATGTTATTTACCCTGGCACACAGTACAAAAACTAGGAGTTACCTGATGAAATTAATAGGCAGCAGGTTTAGTACCAACGAGAAAAAGTACTTTTTCACACAATGCATAATTAATCAGTGGAACTGGTTGCCATGGGATTTCGTGATGGCCAAGAATATAAACAGGTTCAAAAAAGAACTGGATAATTTTATGGGGGATAGGCCCATCAGTGACTTTTAACCAGTATGGTCAGGGATGCAACCCCATGCTCTGGGTGTCCCTGAATCTCTGACTGTGAGAAGCCGGCAGTGGAAAACACAGGTGGATCACTGCATAATTGTCCTGTTTTGTACACTCCACCTGAAGCTCTGGTAAGGGCCACTGTCAGAGGCAGAATATTGGGCTAGATAGACCATGGTCTGACTCTGTATGGCCGCTCTGAAGTTCTTGTCTCTCAATGCATCCTCAGGACCATCTGGCTGGAGCCATGGCTCTGAAAGTGACCCCCATGCTGCTGCTGCTACTGGCTGCTGCGCTGGTGCTGTTGGGAGCATCAGCCAGCCAGGAGCAGTATGACCGATTCCTCCTGCAGCACTTTGATGCAAAGCCCAAGGGTCGTGACGACCGCTACTGCAACAACCGCATGCGCTACATGATGAAGGAGGACAGGAGGAGGTACCCAAATCCTGGGCCAAAAGTCTGCAAGGAGACAAACACCTTCATTCATGGGAACAGTGACGATATCAAAGCCATCTGCACTAGCCATGGAGGCAGGAACTATGTAACCAGAACCAGGCAGGCCATGCGCCAGAGCCTCAGACCATTCCAGATCACCCACTGCACCTGGCACGGAGGTAAACCCCTCGACAACTGCCAGTACCGGGCGGCCCGGGACTCTAGGATGATCATCATCGCATGCGACAAGCATGAGCACCCCGTGCATTTTGCAGAGAGCCAGATCTGACGGGGAGATGAGGAGGTGACTCCCAATTCCCTTGGATTCTGGTGCTGCCTCTTCTGATGCAGGGATCTTGGACTGAAATGTCCTGATCACACGCTGCTGCTCCCTAGTGCCCATTACACAGGATAGCCGCCCCTTCCCCGCCCCCACCCTCTGCTGCCCCTCGTGCCCATTATACAGTATAGCCGCCCCTTTTCCACCCCCATCATCTGCTGCCCCCAGTGCCCATTATACAGTATAGCTGCCCCTTTCCCACCCCCATCATCTGCTGCCCCCTAGTGCCCATTATACAGTATAGCCGCTCCTTTCACATCCCCATCCTCTGCTGCCCCCAGGTTCCCATTATACAGTATAGTCATCCCTTCCCCATCCCTCACCCTCTGCTGCCCCAGTGCCCATTATACAGTATAGCCGCCCCTTGCCACCATCCCCACCTTCTGCTGCCCCTATGTCATCTCCCCTCTGTGACAAATAGCAGCCATCTCAAACTGTGTCCTTTCATTAAGAACTATCAGCCAGTTTCACGCTGCTGGTGTTGTGTATTCAGTCTAAGAATGTATAATCCTCACGTTCGTCATGTTAAGTGTTATGTTTATCATTGTTCTCTTCATCAGTTTTGAACATTTCTTTCCTGCCTGCCATTCTCTGTGCTCCCTAAACTCAATAAAACCTGAAACCTGCAAAGCAATTACCATGTCACTGTAAAGGGGTCGGCATCTGCCTCTCGCTAGTGCCCCCTGTCTCTGGACAATGGTGACCGCAATCTCTCAGTTCTTTTCAGCAGGGCGCCATCCACCTCTCGCAAGCACCCCCTCCAGCCGATGGATCTCTTGGCAGGTCTTTAGTCACTCAGTCCTCTGGCCAAACTGCCTACACTGCCCCTCCCTTCTGGGGTACACTGTCCAACCAGGCCTATCTCAAAACCTTCAGTAATGTCCTGTAGCCCTCCGCAGGCTCCAACATCTCTGTAGTCTTCCCCAAGCTCTGGTCCTCAGTCTGACCAACAGGGCCTCAGTACCCTAGTTGGCCAGCTTACATGTGAATATTCCTGCTTTGGGGTGAAACAGCACCCCAAGCCTTTCTCCCTGAGGGCTCTTCACCTGCCCTTTAGTCCTTTGACCCCAGTTCTCCAGCTGGGTCAGTCTGAGTTCAGCCCCCTTCCGAGGTCACAGTTTCACAGACAGTCCCTTCCCCGGGCCTGTCTACACCACCTTGTTGGGGGTGGGGACCCAGGCTCACCCAGTACTCCGGTTCCCACCCTAGGGACCCTCTAAGTACCAACCACGTGCCACGTCCCTTTAACTAACTGTATTTCCCTGGACCATTTCCCCGGTAGTCAGTCCTGGCAGCCAGTCAGAAGCTATTCCCTCATTTCCCTGATCCCTGCCAGCAACTATCTGATTTAGCCTTTGCAGCCACCCAGGAGCACCACTTGCTTCGTGGTCCCTGCTAGAAGACTGATCTATCCAGGCCCTTTCAGCTCCTGCAGCCAGCCAGGAACTCCTCTTGTTCCCCCAGTCCAGGGGTCTCAAAGTTCCGGCATGTGGGCCATCTGCAGCCCGAGAACCTTCCACTGTGGCCCGCAGAGGAGAGACCGATGCAGCCACGCTGCTGGCTCTGTCTGCTGCAGGTGCCGCCCCCCGCAGCTCCCATTGGCTTGGAGAGAGGGACAGAGATACCATCGCTAGTTGCTGGGCACACTCAGCCATGGAAGCAGCATCATTAGTTGCCGGGCAAAGTCAGCCATGGAAGCAGTGTCACTTTTTTCCATAATTAATATAAACAAGTCAAAATACCAAACACAACTATCTGATGCACACCTTGCTGCACATCAGATGTCTGGCAAACACTAAAAACTCTCTGGCAGGCAAAGAATAACTTTGTATGATAGTTTTATTATTTCTAAGAAATTCGGGAAAAAAATAGAATCATAGAATTGGAAGGGACCTCAGGAGGTCATGTAGTCCAACCCCCTACTCAAAGCAGGACCAATCCCCAATTTTTGCCCCAGATCCCTAAATGGCCCCCTCAAGGATTGAGCTCACAACCCTGGATTTAGGAGGCCAATGCTCAAACCACTGAGCTATCCCTCCCCCCCGTTTTCTTTTCTGAACACCATCTTCAATGGCATTATTGGCCTGCTGGGAGGATTTGAAGACTGGCACTAGCCCTAACATAAATTGAGTTTGAGACCCCTGCCCCAGTCCCTGCAAGCAAACTGTGCTCACTATGGCCCTGCAGTTCCTTTTATTTCAGCCTGCTGGGCCCTCATTGGCTGCTCCCTGAAGCCTCTCTGATTGGCTGCTAACTCTACAGCCACTCTAGCCTACTTGGATGACCTCTCCACTGCTTCTTTCCTGGGATGGGTGTGGTAGGACTCTGAGGCCTCCAACAGGGGGCTTTGGGCCTAGTCCACCCCAACGCAGTCACACTGGGGATAGCAAAGATGTAAGCCGCTGAACACTTCAAGAGTGCTGGAAATGTGTTGTGGTTTTCCAATGAGATTGTCTGTGTTTTCAAGCCCCATCTCAACCTTTCACCCCAGTCTTGGGAACAGAACCCCTTTGTCCTGACTTCCACTTCTGGGCCTGCTCTAACCCACTAGACCCCACGTCCCATCAAGAGCTTGGAATTAAACCTAGGATTCCTGAATCTTCATCTGCTCTTTTTTAATCCAGTGCAAACTGCTCTCCTCCCAACATCAGTATAAGGGAGACCATCCAGAGAACTGCCCACAAGGGGAGATCTTGCACCTGCCTATGCTGGACCAGGCCAACAGCCATGATGGGTTCCCAAGCTAGACGGACCCAGGGTCTATTCTCTTGTGGCAACTCCAGTTCTCTTGTGCTCATCTCTGTTTGCCATTAGCCAACTGCAGAATATGTGAGTGATACACAGCTACCCTAAAAGATGGAGAGATACAATAACACAGACTCAGGTACCTCTTTGTGTGGTGGGAGAGGCAATTTCAGATAGGCAGGAAGAAAGAGATGAATTAAGATAGATAGACAATTAGATGTGTATGGATTTAGATAGATCTATGGGTGTGTATGAGGCAGGAAGGATGGATTCATAGATTCCAAGGCCAGAAGCATCTGTTGTGATCATCTAGTCCAGTGGTTTTCAAACTGCAAGTCGTGACCCAGTACTGGGTCGTGGAATGTAAGGCACTGGGTCACGGCGGCTCTGGTCAGCACCGCCAACCGGGCGATTAAAAGTCCCGTCGGCGGAGCTGCCCAGCTAAGGCAGGCTAGTCCCTACCTGTTCTGACACCACACTGCGCCCCAGAAGCAGCCAACACCAGGTCCAGCTCCTAGGTGGGGGGTCATGGGGCTCCGTGCGCTGCCCCCACCCCCAGCACCGGTTCCCAGCCAATGGGAGCTGGGGGGGCAGTGCCTTCGGGAGAGAGACATGTGGAGCCGCTTGCGCACCTCCACCTAGGAACCGCACCTGCTGCTGGCCACTTCCGGGGCGCAGCACAGTCTGCAGTGCCAGGACAGGCAGGAAGCCTGCCTTAGCACCCTCACTGCGCTGATGATTGGGAACCACCCGAGGTAAGCCTGCACCCCAATCCTCTGCCCCAGTCTTGAGCCCCCACAACCTGGAGGCCCTTCCTGCACCCCAGACCCCTCATCCCTGGCCCCAGCCCAGAGCTCTGACCCTCTCCTACACCCCCTGCCCCAGCCCACAACCCCCTCCCACACCCTGAATTCCTCATTCCAAGCCCCACCCCTCAGCCCTCACCCTGCACCCCAACCCTCTGTCCCATCCCTGAGCCTCTCCCCAAACCCCTCATCCCCAGCTTCGTTGGGTCGTGGGCATCAACAATTTTCTTCAACTGGGTCGCCAGAAAATTGTTTGAAAACCACTGATCTAGCCTGACCTCCTGTAAAAAAGAGGCCAGAGAACTGCCCTAGATTAATTCCTGTTTGAACTTGAGTAGATTGTCTAGAAAAACACTCAATCTTGATGTGAAGACAGCCAGTAATGGAGAATCCACCACAACCCTTGGTAAATTGTTCCAATGCTAAATTATCCTCACTGACAAAAATGTACATCTTACTTCCTTCTCAATTTGTCTAGCTTCCTCTTCCAGCCATTGAATCACGTTATCTGCTAGACTGAAGAGTCCGGTATCACATATTTATTCCCCATGTAGGTACTTATAGACTGTGCTCAAGTCACCCCTTCTCTTTGTTCAGATAAATAGATTGAGCTCCTTTGAGTCTATCACTATACAGCATGTTTTCTGGTCTTTAATCTTTCTCATGGCTCTTCTCTGAACCCTCTCCAAATTATCAGCATCCTTCTTCAATTGTTGATGCCAGAACTGGACATGACATTCCAGCAGCAGTTGCGCCAGTGCCCAATACAGAGGCCAATTAATCTCTCTTCTCTTACTCAAGATTCCACTATTCGTGCATCCCAGGGTCCGATTAGCCCTTTCAGCTACATCATCACTCTGCGAGCTCCTGTTCAGCTAACTATCTACCATGACCCCCAAATCTTTTTCAAAGGCACTGCTTCCCAGGGTAGAGTCCCACATCCTATCAGTATAGCCCTCATGGTCTCTTCCTGGATGTGTGACTTCACATTTAGCTACATTGAAAACAGGTTGTTTGGATGGATAGATTTTTACAATTTGTATTACAGTAGGACCTCAAAGATACGGGAACAGAGATTGTTCATAACTCTAAATGTTCGTAACTCTGAACAAAAAGTTGTAGTTGTTCTTTCAAAAGTTTAAAACTGAACATTGATTTAATACAGTTTTGAAAATTTACTATTCAGAAGAAAAATGTTGTTTTCCCTTTATTTTTTTAGTAGTTTACGTCTAACACAGCACTGTACTGTATTTGTCCTTTTTATTTATTTATTTATTTTTTGTTTTTTTGTTCTTTGCGACTTCCTGATTGCGTATTTCTGGTTCCAGATGAAGTATGTGGTTGAGTGGTCAGTCCGTAACTCTGAGGTTCTACTATAAACCAGTTTGCAACTTCAGT